AAAAGAACATTTTAAACTGTTTCAGTTACTATATTATCAAAGTAAATCGAGGCTTCTGTGTCATTCAAAGAAGCCTGGTAGGTTATTTGATTATTGGCAGATAATATAATGGATTGATTCTTGTGAAATCAAAATTCTAGTTGTAGTTTTGTCGATTATCTGAAATAATATATAAACAGGGGTACAACTTTCCTTCATACATCGATGAATAAGTTGCCAATCCCTGGTCATTTCGACCTTTCTTCTGGTCTCACAAATATTAAGTTTTGTATATATTTATTCCTTAAATGCTGTTTTGCACAAAATTTCCACGGCTTATATCATCGTAATTAGTTTATAACTGGTCTTATCACATTTACACTCTTAACACTGCTGCACTGTTTCTGAAAATTTTTTTAACCAGAAAACTGATGAATATAGTATTTGTGATTACTGTATAAGGTTTTTGAATTGATGGTTTTTTATCAACGTCACCCAGTTTATTCGTGGTACATATTCACGATCTAATAAAATTTTACTTTTTCCGGATTAGTGCGTAAACGACGAATTCCGATTAAATAGTCCTATGGTTTTTGAAGAAACGACATATACGAAACGTTAGAACTTTACATTTCTGCCCACTAGAACATCACAAACATATCATTAGTGTATTATATTGATAGCAGTCTACATTGTAAATATATGAGTTCAACTTCTAATAGTAAATGCTAGGTAACTATTTTGATTCATCGAGGGATCATTTATTGAAAATGCAGTTGTTAATGAGACTATATCGGACAAGCGTGGAGCCATAATTTACTCTCATTTCAGAATATTAAACCTATGGGCAGAACACCTCAAAGAACATTTGGTCTTTAGCTACTCCCCAACTACCCACCATCTATAAACAACCTGAATGATAAATTGACACACGTCCATCAACTCCTCGTGAGGTTGAAAAGGTCTTATCTAACTTGAAGAGAGGGAGAGCACAAAAACGTATCAGGTTAACTATAGATACCTTCAAGGATAGCAATCCAGTTTTAACAGCTAAACTGGCTTAGATGCTATTTACAGTTTGGGGAACTGAACGTAATTACATCTGACCGGGTTCGATTGCTGATGGTCCTAGTGTAATGAACGAAAGCATGGATGGGGACAACAGGATATCTTAGTAAAATATGGGGACCATACATTGAATACTAAATTTGCAAATTTCCATTATACGTCTTTGACATCCTGCATGATTCTTCTTATTCGCAATTTCTTTTTATTTCCCTTTCTGTTTTCTTCAACTGGTGGTATAGGAATAAATATTATCATTAAGATGAAATAAAGCAGGCTTATGTGAACTGTAGAGATACTTCATCTTGTCCCGCATTTTTACCTACCTAGTCTGAATGAATACAATCTGACATAAAAGCTTTGGCAATGTTCATGAAATTATTCGCTAGGAAAATAATATCTTGTGCCATTTGCCGTATCGTAGAATAAATTAATGAATCTAAGATGGCTACTTAAATAGTGTATAAGTAGCTAAGGCAGCAATACAAAATATGAAGTTAGTCTTAATATATAAACTTAATATATAAAACTGACTCATGATTTCAACTTGTGAAAAAAATATTCCCGTATTTAACGGATGACCTTCAATAGTATTGAGGGATGGTGAGATATAAGGACTTACTGGCCTGCGTTTATTTTATTTAAGCTCTCCACAAGTCTGACAACATGTATATCAGAAAATAAGAATAGTTTAGTACTACTCCTTTCATCCTTGAAGACAGCAAGCGAATGTATGGGACTAATATAGAGTTTTCTAGACACCAGTTATCAAACTTTATACATTTACCAACTCTAATTTATAACTTTCAACCATTATCGGCTTTTTATCAAGCGTTTATTTACTTATATATATATCCACCGATTAAATATTTACTTGGTTGGTAGAAGGAGTAAATGGTATGTAAGTTTTGTTTCTACAGTTCACTTTCTATTTCTGAGCCAAGTGAATTTAAGCTAATAAGTGAACTGGAAGAAAAGCGTGAATCCAATTTCTGCAATAGCTGTAAATAACAATCTCTTAAGAGATATTACAATGCTCTAATCATCGTTCTATCATTTAATTACCGACCTTAATTTCAAGAAACATCATATATAGCACGTATTTCATACTTAGAAATAAAAAACTTGACAACTTTGTTAAGCTGAGTAAGTAAACTAAAGCTTTCTTTTCTCATATTTAAGCTGATTATGTAAATTTTGAGTAGGATATCATTTTCATAGATTATCAATTAAGCTAATCAAAATGAAGTGATGAAACGCTTGGAAATGCTTAAAGACACACAAACGTGTTGTTTATTTAAATTGATTGGAACTGATCAGAAGCTTGATTTTATCTACAATGTTTAAAAAGTGCCCTTAAGTTTAAACTAAGAGCTGGCAAAATTCTTTCCAAATTGATTCTTGCATAAGGAAATTCCATGAAACTTTTCAAATTTGTACGCCTTTTAATTATTTTATACTTGCAATCAAATCCTTAGCTAAGTACTCTTATAAAGTATTCTCTCTTGTTGAAAGAGATCTTTTTCAACCTGCTACATTTTCTTAGTTTTGCAGATAAATTCTTGTTTCGATTGAATATGACAAGTACATTCAATTTTATTTTCCTAAGACAGGTGAATTTCACCCCTGGTTTAGAAAATGGTGTGCGTACTCTGATAAAGATATTCGAATAATAACTTTCCTTTCTAACCTGTGTATCTATTGATTTAACCTTAGAAGACACTACTGATAACTTTATTGTATCTACATATATCGCTACTATTGGACAGAAGTGGTTCAAGGTATCATTATTAACTATGATAAAACCACTGATTCTATCTAGGTTTCTTTAAATACACACATCACTATGTGACTCCTAAAGTAAGCTGAAAAGAACGCTTAAATGATGATCTATACATTTCTCAAGGAGTTTTATTAGCTAAATAGTCTAGAATGTGACAAATATGATTTAAAACATCGTCATATTCAACAATTCAGTTCGCTCTGTTACAGCCTAAATCCCTGCTCGATACAATAGAATACTTCATCTCATGTTTTCAATGGGTAATCAAGTATATAAACTTATTGTCCAGTTACACATGTTCTGAACTTGTCTTTTAATCTGCCTTCTAATTTCTTTATGTTTAGATTGCAATTTCTGGAAAATTGATTTTTTTTTCATATTTTTGCGCTTTTTGAATGTCTATCGTTAACCCGCTATTTTTAGATTAGTTAATAAAAAGGTCCTTTGCTATTCAGGCATTTCACATTCAAAGTGAGCTTGTTTTAGATTTCATTCTTTTGAGGTGAATAGCTCATTAGTTTTAAATCATGTGGTCCATTCGTTTAAAAAATTCGGACAAAATATTCCGTTTATTCGTTCATTATTTTATTTATCTGTTGAATCGTATTCAATCACATGAAGAGGAAGTAAAGTGTATCAAATACAATATTTTGTGTGATAACACAACTATGGATATCGGGATCATGTCCAGGATATTTAGGTCTGATAGCAACTTGATACTGTTGAGTCATCTAGTCATTCAGCACAACAACTACTTAGGGTTAGTCTTTAGAAAAAAATAGCACAGTATACACGTATTTGATTGAGGTTTTTTTAAATTAAATTTCACCTCTTTGAAGTCATTATATGGGTCCATAAGTACGGTATTATTATCATTAATATTGATTATTATGGCTATCTTTGCAACTATTTTCAAATACAATCTAATTCTTAGATAAGCAAAGATAGATAGTGACTAGCAGTGGAATCCACGACACGCGTTTCGTTGGATGTGCCTGCATCTCGGAGTTGATGTTCACTCTGGAACACGAACCCAGTACCATTCGCTTCAAACGCCATCACGTTATCCACTTAGCTGCTGAGTCCTGATAACCACTTGCTTTTGCAATGGGGTGAAGTTTAATTCATTTGGTATTGTTTTACTTGAATCTTCTGATTATTGTTTAGGATTGAAATTGATCAGTCTCTTGTTGGCATATGTGCATACTATGCGTATTACCTCGATATTGTCTTAATTTACAAGCATTATAACCAAAGATGGATAGTGGCTGATCAATTCCAGTCCTAAAACATCAATGGGAAGATTCAAGTAAAACAATACCAAATGAATTCATTGTCAGATAGTTTTTAGGAATCCATAGGAATACAAGATCCTACATTTTACAATAGTTGGTACTTAATAGTAAATTTTCAGTTAATTTATTACATCCATGAGGTTCAGCTTAATTGTATTAATTAAAGGTAAAGCATATTACCTATACTTTAATTTAAAATCAAGATCATAGATATCAGTTAGAGTAGCATATATATATATATTCACGTGTCGATATCTATTTTTTATATTTGACAGTACAGATTAGGATAATAATAAAACATCATTATTTTGTATTATATATTCAATATGAATGAAAGTACTAATATGTATGCTCAAAACTAATTTCCTTTGAAATTATATACGTATAAAGATCATTAGTTAACATTAAACAAAATAAGGAATATTAAAATAAATTTTTTTTAAAAATTGTTGCCTGATTATACTTTTAATTTACCTTAAATATGACCTCGTACGGTGAGTTCAAGATAAACCAATCAATCATAATAAGTAATAATAATAATCAGTAGTATTGACATATCAAATTAAAACATATGACTTTTATGAATAGTGAAATGAAATGAATTTAAACACAATCAAATATGAGTATAATAATAATAATAAGTCTATATTGGTCATTGTAATTGTCATTTATTATTAATTCTCTCTTTCTATTATTATTATTATTATTATTGCTAGTACTACTACTACTATTATTATTACTATTACTATTATTATTATTATCATTATTATCGAATTATAAGAGATATTCATCTATACAATAAAATTCATATATATCATAAATAGATCCTACTGAACAGTAGTTAAATTAAATTAAATTCATAAGTCTATTCGTTGATAATGACATTGGATAAACCAATAGCTGTTGTAAAATATGTTGATATGCCAGTGGATATGCAACAAGATGCTGTTGATCTATGTTATCAAGGTATAGAAAATTTTAAAGAAGAATATGAAATTGCAAAATATTTAAAAAAAGAATATGAATGTAAATATGGAAGTATTTGGCATTGTATTGTAGGTAAATCATTTGGTAGGTAAGTTAAATATTAACAAATGTTTATAAGATTAATTTAAACTATATATTAAAGATTAATTTATTAATTTCAATGGTTGACATCATGAGTTAGTTGAAGGTAGACCATCATGGAAAACCTGGAAGCACTGGACTGATGTTTCATTCTATTGTGTGACTCCTCAGCAGTGCTAATCCACGATCCCGTCTGGCGAGATTCGAGCACAGGACCTATCAGTCTCGCGTGCGAGAGCTTAACCACTAGACCACTGAGGAGTCCCATACTAGGACAAAACGGCCGTCCAGTGCTTCCAGGTTTCCCATGGTGGTCTAGCTTCAACTGACTCATGATCTTAACCATTGAAATTACTACAATCTCCACAAAAGAACCCATCTCATATTATTTTAAAGTGTCTTGTTCAATTTTATATTTGTGCTTTACTAGTGTAACAGAGACTAAATGGGTATTTTTTGAGTGGATTTACTATGACGTGAATAGTATGGCTGATTAACAACTAGGTAGGAAAATCGAATTATAACTAGATATTAAAAGACACAACAGATGATTAGCAGTGAAGATCATTTGATTTGGGAAAAATAGAGAACTTTTATTGATTTATTGTTCATCACATCAACTTGTAAATAGTATCAGTTCAATTAATTAGTGGAAATATTTAAACAATTAGCTCAGAAAGGATATATATCAAAAGGAGACTTCTCTTCTTGACATCAATAACGTAAAGATTCAAACTCTTTGAAATAAATAGTAGTCCAATTGATAGATTATACAGGGCTCACATATTGTATATTTAATATATCCAAGAATAGCTTGCCAATCTGATGTAATTTTAATGATTTCAAACTCCTCATGGAGTCCTTTCGGGGGCTACTGCCGGTCCAAAGCCCGGGTAAAGGAGGAGGGTTGGGCATGGGGTTAGCGACCCCATCCCGTAGAAAACTAACTCGCTAAAAAACGCTAACCAGAAAAGTTTATTCAAACCATTTAAACTTTGCCCTGGGAGTTTGAAGGTCTTCATTTAGAAGAGTTATGACGCTTTATGGTGAAAGCCGGAATTCACGAGGCCGATGCTCCTTCTAACAACCAGAGCAACCACTTATTTAGGTACATGGAATACTTGTACAATGTGGGAGACTGGGAGAGTCTTCCAAATTGCTTAGTGATTTCAATTGTTTTTTACTATAAAACGGATTCAATATGAGACCAGAAATAGCTACAAAAACTCATTCATAATAATATTCTTAAATTCAACCCGTTCCTTTTAACAAGAGCATTATTTGTGTCGATCACTTATCTCAAATTTATTGATATTTTTACTTGGAATTGTTACAGCTTTGAAGATCCAACTAAACTTAGATCACTTAGATAGAAGTTTTATGAAAATAAGTTAAATCAGTTTGAATTATATTTATTTTATCATGAACTAGAATTAATTCGTGGACTATTATAGACCAGAGAGTTGAGATTGGATATCTATTTCTTCTAAATTATCAAAGTATTCTCTTAGATTGTTTATTTCAATGTACAACCTGGAATCCTTTCTTTATAAACCAAGTCTGAACTCAAGTATATATATATAAGGTCAACTATACTAGAAATGGAGGGTCAGGGAAGACAAGAATAATAAAATAACAGTGTAAAAACAATTTGCAACCTCATCACATTGGATAATAAGCTGATATTACCAGGATAGGTTTAAGGTAAAAACAAACTGTTTTTTGAATACACAGGGGGATTTGAATTTTCGTATGGCTAAGGCTTCAATAAACCTTAGTATAGGCTCTTTTACACTTTTGTACAACACCGCAAAAGCCGAGTTACGACCAGTCTTACTGACCTGTTTCAATTATGTGTTTGGCAAGAGAGGATGATGGATGTTTATCCTCTACTATTATTAGGTCATTTGATTCTATTTACTTCTACAATCGTCGTTCTGATAATCTTCGTCTTCTTATTACACTATCGAAAATTATCATCATTATTATTATTGCTATTATTATTATTAATAGTAGTAGTATTATTATTTAATTCCTCTTTTCCAGTTACATCTCACATGAAGAAGATGGATTTATATTCTTTCATTTACACGGATATTATGTGATGCTATTTAAAGCAGGTTAAATGAAACTAAAAATGTTTATCAGTTGTTTTTGAGAGAGAGCAGATTTAATTCCTTGTATTACAACTAAAGCAGATATACTGTAGATATTTATTACTAAATATACTATTTACCAAATTATATTGATCAATTTTAATCATACTTTATTTCTAAGAATTTTATATGAAGAATAACTGTGTTTACATGAACACTACATGACTCATTTAGTCACTGTACAAAATTATACACAGAACATACTAGTCTTCGTATATAAATGTATAATAGATAAGTTGCAGACATTTTTAAACAATGATTTAGCTGGTACTTTATTGATTATTAAGTAGTCATGTAATAATCAGTGAAAAATCAACGACTTAAACGTATAACAAAAATATCATGTTTTTATTATAGTGAGAAATCTCTCAAAGAAAATTGAGATACACCTAAGTTGAAAATGAGACCTGTTCACAAACTGGTAACGATATGATAATTGAACAATGAATGACGAGTATAAGTAAATTCTATTGAATTTAATCAATGAATAACACATTCCGAAAACATTTACTCAGGTCATAATGTCATTATTTTTTAGTATGGGAATGTGACTAAGATGATATGATGTTATAAGTCATAATTTATGTCTAGCAATCATAACCGATTCATTAATTTCTACAAATATCAAATGATATTAATCTACATATGCCCACTAGGTATTGGCTTCAAGATAGATTTCCTGGAGTTCTAGTGAGAAGCAGTGACTAGTGGAGTTCAAGCGGGTCAGTTGTGAGATAGTAACTCAGTGAAGACAATTGTGGATGAGTCGCTCAATTTCGTGGATTGGTTGAAGATAGACATTAACATTGTTGGATACCGGCTCAGTGGTCTAGTGGTTAAGCGCTCGTGTGCGAGACTGATAGGACCTGGGTTCGAATCTCGCGAGGTGGGATCGTGGATGTACACTACTGAGGAGTCCCACAGTAGGACAATACGGCCGTCCAGTGCTTTCAAGTTTTCCATGGTGGTTTAGTTCCAATCGACTCATGATCTCAACTATTAAAATTACTATAATATCCACAAAATCTCTTCTGATATTAATTAAATGATCTAACATGTAATCAGTAAATTACAATCCTCATGTCTCACTCAGCTTAAATCTCTGATAGTTTTTCATAATCTGGTATCTATATACATACTATTGAAAATTGGTAAACATTTGGAAAAGCAACTCCATCCTTAGATTTGAACAAGTATTTAAGAACTGAAGTCTAATTTACTCCTGTTCTGTATTTAAGTGAATCTTATCTGTATAGATAAACATCGGATTTAAGTAAACTGTTTCATACGACAACTACTATGTCTTCATTTTGTTTTGGTTGTTTGAATCTTCCTATTGATGTTTAGGACTCCAACTGATCAGTCTCTTATTGACATCCTATACAGATTGCCTCGATATTGCCTTAAGTCACAAGCATTATAAGCAGAGATGGATGGTGGCCACGAGTGGAATCTAGGACGTGAGTTTCGTCCTATTTGAAATTCGTGAATACCAACTCTGGGATGCAGATACATCCAGTTGTTTAATCCCAAATCCATTGTAATACAAGTCCTGGATTCCATTGATGGACAAAATAAAACATTATATGCAGTCTAATAAATAAGAACTTTCGTCTAAATTTGAACGAATAGTTTCACAATATTTGGGCGCCGAGTTAATGTGAGACATTAAAAAGAAGGACATATTTGTAAAATCTCAGCGAATGAATTTTAAGTAAATCCAACGTTTCGCTTGGCAATCTGGTCCAAGCTTTTTCAAGGAAAAAATATAATCAAACAACAAAATTATCGAATATCAATAATGGAATATGCAGTCTTTATCATAAAATGATTGGAAATAAACAATACATCACCTTAAAAGTATCAACTATCCCTAGTTTGCAGCTGCTATTGTCACTAGATGTTAAGACTGATACAGCTTCTGAGATAAGAAAACGATATCTAAGGAATAATTTAGGCAGCTTATACAACACATCGACGTTATGATCTTACTTCTTCATTTAACGAATAGTAAGTTTATGAAGTAGATATAAGCTGTTTAGTTCCTACATTTCTATATTCATTAACCGGTCTAGTTTTGGTGCAGCTAAATGTATAGGTTATATAACTTGTCACGTCTACCACGGCATTAGTGAATATCATTTTTCACCGTTTAGCTAAAAACAGACAAGGATAATATGAAATTATATTCCTGCATATCTAGTTTACATTGTACATTTAATTCATTTGTAAAGTTATATATTAAATTGCGTTCGATCGAAATAACAGTTTACAACTTTACCAATTTTTATACAATGTAAAGCAAAGAAATTCACATTAAATATGTAAATTTATGCATCCAGAAATTTAATAATCTCTTACTTCATCATGGTTATCTGTCTGATTGAATGACCTATTTTAAGTCATTTCATACATAGACCATTGAACTTTACAAACACTCTACTATTCTTTTCATGAAAAACTTGAATTTTAAATTATTATTAACCAAATCATTATTTGACTGTTATTGATTTTATTGTCAATCGTAAAACTAGTATATATAGTATGAGGATATAGTGAAGAACTCATTTAAAAGACAAACATTATCTGTTTTATTTTCAAAATGACCTCTTATATTAAAATGTCATCAATATCTTTTAAATAAGAATAGAAACAGAGATGATACGTCCATGTGACCATATTTCAAGCATCAAATTCTTCCTCTCTGTCTTGTTCTCTTTCTATCAATTAAACTAGTCAGTGCTACAAAGTACTTTATATCCGAAACTTTAAAACTTTTTAAATGTGCCCTGAACGTCTGCATAAGTTCTTGACCGTAAGAGTAAAAATTCACTTTGTTATATATATATCATCATCACCAATATTGATGATTAGCCTTAAATATGATGAAAGTCACTAAGGCGATGTAACGTTTCCAGGATCCATTTATTTAGCTTTAGTTATCCCATATATCATTAAATCATTAAAATACAATCAGAATTCACTTAAACTAAAATTCAGACTATCACCTATCATAATACAATTGAATAGTTTCATAATATATGATTTAATCTATCATAACTAATCCTTTTATTGAAACATGATCAATAGAATAGTATTGATAAGAAGAAAAATCAATAAATTTTTTATTGATTTTTCTTAATCTATTAAAATAGATCTTATCGATTATTTGTCTATAATATTGACATAAATATTTCAATAGAACTAAACAAATTGAAAGGATCAATAATGAGAATAAATAATTATAAACAATTAACTTATTGAGTTTATTCGATTAGAGAAAAATCAAAAAGAGAGACAGAAGAGAAAAAAACGAGATAGCAACAATAAACACATTTTAAAGTATAAACCAATTTTCATTTTATTTTAACTATACTACTATATAATTTATTTCTCATATGGTTACTGTTATATCTAGAACTTATATTCTTGATATACTGCGTCTAACTTCAGCACTAAAACACTAGAACCATTTCAAGTCGCAATGAAAAGATAGAAGACTAGTTAAACGAATGTTATTCCAGACAGTGTCAAATATAGTACAAAAGTGTCAGGTATTTATAGTTTTTAGTAAGAACCGAAATCATTATCACAGTCCTCCAATCCTCATACAGGGGGTTATTAGCATTGTTCAATCAGGAAGCTACACGTAGGGATTCTGGAATATTCTTCCGAAAGGTGGTTGGATGTAATATCTTCGGCTCTTTCTAAGCTTCTTAAAGCTTCCTTAAGTTCACCTATGGACCGTTCCCACAGTTATATGTATAGAAAACTAAATGACTGTATATTTGTGAGTGTATTTGTTGAATATCTTGGACTTTGTAAAAAAAACTTTTATTATTTCTAACTGCTTCATGTGTTATTTCAATGACCAATATAGTCATTGTATTTTTACAGACTTATGTAAGCTTTATAATGAACTTTCTTGTTTTAATTATATTTAATTCGTTTAATGTTATTCAATCTATAACTTGTATAATCAATATAAAAAAGGGACACATAGAAAAACATTAAAATCTAATCAATATGGAATGGACATTAGAATAGACTTATTGAATAGTTCGGAGAATAGTAATTCACTATTATCTTCAAATATACTTTCAAGAATAATAATATAAACTGAATAACACTAAACGACTGTTTCATTTTATCAATAAAGACTTAGTAGGATTTCATGAATCAACGAAAAAAAAATGGAACTGTGGAAATTATTCTTTAGTCAGTCAATATTTGTATTTATTAATATTTCTTTATTATTAGTATAAAAATCTCCATAGAATATTCAAAAATGAAGAATAATTGTTTTCAATAACTTCATCATCATGTTCTACAGTTATAAGTCCACAATTATTACGATATTTTATAAAGGTCAAAATAAGGCATGTATTAATTAATTTTACAATGTTAGATGTAATTTCAGTAGTTGAAATCGTGAGTCGATTGAAGCTAGACCATCATGGAAAACCTGGAAGCACTGAATGGCCGTTTCGTTCCATTGTAAGACTCTTCAGTAATACACATCCGGGACCCTGCCGTGCAGGATTCGAACTCAAGACCTACCAGTCTCGCGTGAGAGCGCTTAACCACTAGACCACTGAGTCAGCACCCAGTGGTGTTAATATCTAACTTTAACTGATCCACGAAATTGAGCGACAAATTCACCATTGTCATCAGTGAGTTACTATCTCATAATCTCAACTATTGAAATTACTACAATCTCCACAAAGCATCTTCTGATACTAATGTTATGTGTTGAAAATGGTGAACGTTTGCATCTGTTACGAAATATGTACTTCGAAATTATTTGTAAATTATAAAGGTCATTTAATGAAGGTGAGAAACTAAAACTGAATGAGCATATTCGTATCACTAAACCTGATAAAGGATAGGGCACCATAATTCTAAACAAAACAGATTACATAGATAAGATGAATACCCTGTTGAGTGACCAAACTAAATTCAAAAAGCTTGGGTCATGTAAATACCTCAATGAAAGACT